ATCTAACATAACCGTGGACAACCAACTGAAATAACCGTGGACCACAAACTAGCATAACCATGGACAACCGATACAAGTACCCAATCAAAAAGAACCGCTTGTCGCACTTTTTACCGACAACTATCCCAACAACGTTAGATTTGAAACCATCACCCACTTAGTTCTGTAGCACTTGACTAGCACCCACTTAGTTCTGTAGCACTTGACTAGCACCCACTTAGTTCTGTAGCACTTGACTAGCACCCACTTAGTTCTGTAGCACTTGACTAGCACCCACTTAGTTCTGTAGCACTTGACTAGCACCCACTTAGTTCTGTAGCACTTGACTTGCACCCACTTAGTTCTGTAGCATTTGACTAGCACCCACTTAGTTCTGTAGCACTTGCTTAGCACCCACATGGTTCTATAGCACTTGACTAGCACCCACATGGTTCTGTAGCACTTGACTAGCACCCACATGGTTCTGTAGCACTTGACTAGCACCCACATAGTTCTGTAGCACTTGACTAGCACCCACATGGTTCTATAGCACTTGCTTAGCACTCACTTGAACGTGTAGCACATGGTCAACACCAGCAGTTATACATTCATCTGCCAGTCATCTTTTAACTCTTTTCACTCAGATAGCGATATTACGTAATGGATTAACAATATCCGATAATGGATTATCAACATCACTTGACAAGGCTGGATTAGTAGTTAACGCCGCTATATTCTAGGCAAAATCTAGTCCTTCAACACTTCCCTATATATATATATATATATATATATATATATATATATATATATATATATATATATATATATATAACCCAAGTGTCTCTCTTACCCCCATGTCCTTTCTTTTAAACCGTAAGTCAACTTTCTCCGACTCCGCCCCTGACACCGTCACCGTTGTCCCATGAAACCCGCCCCACCACCTTTCACTAAAGTACAACATTCCCAACATTGCTACGTAAAGTCTACACAATAATTGTTTACTCTGCTAAAAGTAGATGCACTATTAGAAGATTGAAAGAAAACGGAATAGCTTAAAACATAGAAATGATCTTGATCTAGTATGTAATAGATATCCCGCATTTCACAAGTTGTAATTAAATTGATATAAAACGACCCTAAAGTTTGCATATCGAAAAGTCAACGGATTCACAATGAGTATGCATTGAAAGAAACCAAAATCACGTTTCTATATCAAACATATTACGCCAGTGATACAGCTTAATATACAACATACAGGGTATAACCCACTTAATCAACGCCCCTGATTATTGTTCGACTCACCCCTACCAATACCACTCATATAGTATGACTTACATTACCAATGACTCAGGTAGCTTTGACCCGCCTCATCTACAATACTGAGAAGTAATAACGCCTTTGATACAGTGTGTCGCACTCATCAACCACACAAGAGAGAGTTTAAACCACCTTACAAACGCCCCTGGAGATGATATACCCACCTTACCAACGCCTCTGGTAATGATTACTACCTTACCAACGCCCGTAGTAATGATTACCCACCTTTACCAACGCTCCTGAAAATGTTCCACCCACCTTACCAACGCCCCTGATAATGCATCATCCATCTTACCACAGAGGCGTAGCTAGGGGAGGGCGGGGAGGGCGGCCGCCCCGGGCGCCGACCCTAGAGGGGCGCCAAAAGGGGTAGAATTTTTTTTTAAAAGCTCATTTTAAGCTGCAGTTTTGAACTATAAACAGTCAAAGTAAAGAAATTTAACGACTAAGAGCCTTTGCATACTGATTTAACTGTTTTCTACCTTGACTGTGTAGCTGTAAAACGTATATTCTTAAGAAACATTGACCGGAGAAACCGCTTTCCAGCTTTCTTAGAAGTGGGGGGGGGGGGGGGGGGGGGGGGCGCTTTTTCGAAGACTAAAATCGGAAAAATTCACATCGGATTAAGGAATAAATAACCGAAAAGAATCACTCAGAAAAGAAACCCGTTGAACTAAAGCGTAATTTACGATTATGTAACATAAAAAAAAAGAGTTAGTGACGTTTAAAATCCGTTTACCACTTTTTGTCCAAGATGGTGGGGCGCTTTTTCACCAACAAAAATTGCAGGATTTGTACTGGATCGGTTACTAGATAACGCTTTTAATTTACCAAAATTTTAAGAGAGAAGAAAATTAGTATATTGTACTGATTATTACTTTGTTCAACCTAACTGATAATTCAAAATTATAATATAGGCCTACTATTATCGAAATTTTCTAAAGACACGACCAAAAGTAGACTAAATAAGTTTGCACCTTCTACAAAATACGCTCTAAAGCAGTGGCTCTTAAGTTTTTGGAGGTGCCGAACACCACCAGTTTCATATGTGCAATCACCGAACCCTTCTTAATAGTTGTATCGTCCACACTTACACAATTCGATCCCTTACAAAAGGGATCGTGTCTTATCTGCCAGTGGGTTTGAACTCGAGACTTTTTCGAATTTATCAACCATGAGCTGTTGCCGACTCGACCACGCCTCCATCACAATTAAGGATACGTGTCAACTGGTTGCGGCCATTGACTCCGATTTCAGCCTGCTTTTCTTTTTGAATTTGCTTCCATAGCAAATTTGTCCGAGGGTTCGAACTCGAGACTTGTCGGTTTAGCAACCATGAGCTTTACCGACTCGACCACGCCGACCCCATGGGCGTCAACTATTATCATTAAAGGATAATGCATCTTAAGGGGAATTTAATTGGCGTCGAGTAAAGTTTTAGGGAACGACAATCATACAGCGTAATTATTAATTTTTTTCCGGGACTGTCGCACACACATAAATATATATATATATATATATATATATATATATATATATATATATATATATATATATATATATATGAGGGGGGGGGCGCCGAACTTAAAGTTCGCCCCGGGTGCCGGGAAGGGTCGCTACGCCTCTGTCTTACCAACGCCCCTGGTTATATTATACTCACCTTACCAACGCCCCTGGTAATATTTTACCCACATTACAAACGCCCCTAAGATGATTTACCCACCTTACCAACGCCTCTGGTAATGTATCACCCACTAAACCAACGCCCCTGAAAATGTTTTACCCACCTTACCAACGCCCCTGGTAATGTAACACCCACCTTACCAACGCCCCTGGTAATGTTTCACCCACCTTACCAACGCCCCTGGTAATATTTCACCCAATCTACAAATAACCCTGTTAGTGGTCGACCTTCCCAGCCAACGCCCCTGGTCACATCTCACACTGTTAGGGCTTCACCCACAAAACCAACGCCCCTGATAACGTTTTCAACAACCAGTCCAGTGTGTATGTTGACAGTTCCTCCTACCATTAGCTACGTTCTTATCATTAACATTAACACCATACTTGATTCAACTACCAGCCTTTGTTTAATACAGCGATAAACACGTATCTAGGTCAAACATCCAGTGGCCGTGACCTTTCATAAAAGTAAACATTTCATATCCGGCGAACCTATTTGCTTTCAGTAGTCAGCTTCTCGACACGTGGAAACAGGTACGTCTAGAATTTTGTTTGTTTTTGTTTTTAGCCCTCTCTTCCTTTCTAAAACTAAGAAAGGGTTAACTTTAACTGTTATAGATAAAAGCATAGTTAAAGTCAGCGTATAGTTTTAGTAAAGAATAAAGTATAAAAAACAAAAGCATAATACTCTATCTCTCTCTCTCTCTCTCTCTCTCCCCTCCCTATCTCTCTGAATGAATATATATATATATATATATATATATATATATATATATATATATATATATATATATATATATATATATATATACATATTTACATATATACAAATTCACACATATATATATATATATATATATATATATATATATATATATATATATATATATATATATATATATATATATATATATATATATATATATATATATATATACATATTTACATATATACAAATTTACATATATATATACATATATATTTACATATATATATATATATATATTTACATATATATATATATATATATATATATATATATACATATATATATATATATATATATATATATATATATATATATATATATATATATATATATATATATATATATATATATATATATATATATATATATATATGCGTGTGTGTGTGTGTCAGTGTCTATGTGTTTTGTTCTGGTGGGGACATGCACGCTTTTGTTATACAGTGTTATGAACACATTACCAGTGACAACTATATTTTAATTTTTACTCATCCATTTATTTTATTACTTGCGTGGAATGTATAATCCGGCTTAGGATGCCGTCCTAGTTATCTAAGTTGTGAGGTGATGTGATGATAGGGCGCACGACTGCTAACCCATTTCTGATTCAGGGCTCGAGTTTGTTATACGTTCCTGGGTCCACTCAACTCAAGAGAGTACCTAATTCACATTAGGGAAGTAAAGGTTGCTGGACAAAATTCTAAAAACACTATATTTTTGTAATGCTGATCTCACAGAAACTCGAGAATTCTAATTCTCACATACTTTATATACCATGTTATATAGCTGTTTCTGAGAATATTATTTAAATTGCTTTATGTTCAACGTGAAAACATGTGCTTTATACTGCAAACTCTCTTTTACATCAGGCCAAGCCCAGCCTTATCACATAAGGTCAAGCCTCAGTCCTTGCTTGAGCATAAGTCATTATCTTAGGTCAATTTTCAATCATTGCAGTTAGCTGAGCCTAGTTCAGGCAAGTTCTGGACCAAAACTTTAGACCAGGTCTCAGCCTGCCAGCGACCAAAGTCTAGGCTAATACAGCTGACATAATCTGGGCCAATAAGTCAGAGCAAGTCTTATGCTTATCTCAGCGCAAATATGTGTCATTACTAAAATAAATTATTGGCCATTACAGCAAGCCTCGTGTAGTCTATTACAGCAAGCCTCGTCTAGTCTATTACAGCGAGACACGCCTATAAACAAACAGTAAGCAATACCCAGGCCATCACACCCAGCTTAATTAAAAATGCAACAGACATGGGTGTGGCATCTCACCATCACCACTCTCCTTTCTTCTGTATCAACAACAACATCAGCACCCGCCCGCGGAACTGTGGAGTTCATGAAATACGCGGCATCTCTCCCAGACTCCCTCCCGTCTTACTGGTCACGTGATACGGACTCCTGGACGTTTGTTGACGTCGACGAGAAGACGTTCCAAGCCGTGGAGGCGATGGCACTTGGCGCGTGGGACGGGGAACTTGTGGGTAAGGGCGATGACGGCCGGGACCTCCACCACCGAGGCATAAAAGTTCTAGCCGTTCAGAGAATCGAAAACTCGGCTGTGTTTCGGAAATACAACGCTTTCAGGAAAACTCTGCTAAACCGTATGGACAAAGTGGCAACAAGGCTTGATGAGATTAGCGGGTCTAGAGGGTCTGTGTCCACTGACAAATACCTGGCCAAGTTCATGAGAGACGAGATGTATTCGGAGATTAACGAGAGTTACCTGTTTCACGGCACCAAGGTCAAGTACGTTTCAAGTATCGCTGGTAACGGGTTTAATCTGTCGTATGCCAGTCTTGGCCGATTTGGTAAAGGGATTTATATGGCCGAGAGGTCCACTAAAGCTGACCAGTATACAGGTATTTTTATTTTTTTTATTTTCATAAAGTAATGTTATATGTTTGACTATATACAGGTAATTTTTGTTTTGCTTTGATAAAAAAATGTTATTTGTTTGACGCTATACAGGTAATTTTTTACTAAGACCAAGGGTCAGGTAATGTTTTTTTTTAATTAAAAGACTTTTTTGTTTGACTATATACATTTAATTTGTGATTGGTTTATACCAAGACTAAGTTAATTTTGTATTGTTTTGATGAAGACAGGTTATTTGTTTGAATATATACATGTAATTTAATTTTTTTAGACCAAGATTCTGTCAAATCTTTTTTGTTTGTAAATTAACAGACAGTAATTTATTTTTTAGATTAAGAAACAGCTACTTTAAATTTAATTATAAACATACAGGTAAATTGATTTGGCCAACAATGTATGTGTTTGTTTTACCTAGTATACATGTATTTTGTTCAAAGCTATTGTCTCTTAAAAAATGACATCATTGGATGAATGACATCAAAGATTTGGCTAGGTTTCTCGTAGCCAGTACTACTTAGAGCAGCATAGAACATATACATATGACGGAAAATATATGATAACCAGCTGTTGTGATCTAACGTCTATTGAGTAATTTATTGAAACTCTTGTTTAGTTTTAATCGAAAGTATATTCGCTTGTATAACATCAGATACCATCTTTGTTAAAAAAAACAATTGTGGCAAGATTCGAAGCTACAGCTAGTTTAGTTCTAAACGAAAGTATAAACACTTGATGAAGATCAGAGATAATTGTATGTTAAAATTGTAAACTGAAGATTTAAAGGCTAAAGCTAGTTTAGTTCTAAAAAAAATATAAACACTTCTTTAAGATCATACACAATCGTATGATAAAAATGTAAACATTTGTTTCAAGATTTGAGGCTAAAGCTAGTTATGTTCTAAACGAAAATATAAACCAATATAGACCAACTCTTTTGAAGATGTAAACATCATTTCCAAGATACGAGGTTGCCCTGGTAAATATTAAAATACATGTTATTAACATTCAAAAACAGATTCAAATATATTTCCACTACAAAAGGTTTCTACTAACAAATATTTTTTTTAATGTTCCAGATAGCAATTTACCTGGTTCTAACCTTACAGAGAAGATGCTTCTAGTGCGTGGGATGCTGGGAAATATTTACCTCTGTCAAAGTGAGCAGTCTCGTTTAGGTAAATGTGTAAATATAAATAACTAAACGTCCTTTTTCTTAGCAGATTTGTGAGAATTTATATTTTTTGTAATTTTACTTTGGAAAGTGTTGAAGAAATTGATATGCTATCATAATAAAAACACGTTTCATAAAGCCCTTGTGGAACACATGGATTTTTACTCATGTCTAACATATGATAGAGTATACAAGTCTACTAGGTTTATTAGCAAAATTCTTACATAAGTAAATGTAATTATTGTGTAATTATTAAATCAATTCTATTTTCGTTTCAAAGTGTGTTAAATTTAAGGTTTGAACTTTCATCATGCATTGTAGGCTACACTTTTGGACCTAGCAGTTTATTTGTTTGATGAAGTAGAGTTTATCTGTTTATAGAATATTGCCTTGGCATATATGGATAATGTAATGATGTGGATACCAATTATCCTTTTACCTCATTGATATACCGGGGATTCGAACTCATGACATTCGGGTTAGCGTTCGTGCGCTTAAGTCCGATACCACACCGTCTCATTATCAAATATAATAACGTCATTTTTTTTTCTCTTATTCACTTGATACCAAGAAACGTTTCATACATTATAAAAAAGATACTATGTTATCAATCAACAGGTATCCGGAACTCCAGCAAGCCACCGACGACCGACGATCACAACGTGCCCGCCGTCTTTGACTCCGTCGTGTCGGACCTCAGTGACCCCATGCTCGGGGTCTTTAGGGAGTTCGTCGTGTACAGGGAGGAGCAGACGTACCCAGAGTACGTCATAGAGTACACGCGCCTGTCGTCTGCGCATCTGATGACGTCATCCCCGGTCCTGATTACAGCCCTTGTCTACATATGGTTCTTGGCACGACAGCCATGATCCAAACTGAGAACGTTTTATGGTTAATTATATTATGCATAAGTTAAATGTTATAATGCTAATTTTTTAACAATTATCAATCATCATGCTTGCGTTGAAACCGAACACACATCGAGTAAATGAAGTAGATTGTATCTGCTTCAATTTTCTCAGCATACATGATGATACTCTGTTAAGTAAATTTCCCTTTCAAACCTGACGGTCTATGGGGCAAGTGAATTAGAGTTCACTTGTTTCTGTGACCTCGGTATATGAAGAGATAGTGTGGTCAGCACTATGACCATCCGCCTTTACTTTACCTAACGTGAGTTAGACCCATCAGAGTTGGGTGGACTCAGGGGCGGCCTACTGACTTGAACCCGGACTCGAACTCAAAACTTACGGTTTAGCAGTCCAGCTCTCTATTGATAGACCACTCCGCCACACACTGTTAAAAGTATTTCCTTAACGTGAGTCATGGATCATTTGTCCACACTGGAACAAACTATAAGACATCAGTGGTTTGATTTTGTAGAAGTCTCTTCTAGAGTTGCTGTCCCTAGCTATGGAAACTTGAGGGTTTAATCTCGAGACTTTTCGAACACGCCCACCCCTGTACTATAAAAAAATGTTTTATAATATCCAGAGCTGCTACGTCATAATACACTTCAGTATAGAGATTTTCTGCTATATAAAAAATACAGTGCATTGCTTACAAATCAATTTGTATTTAGTCTTTCGTGTAATTAACGGATTGAAGTAATTAATTTTATTGTGTTTTAATATATCCTTATGCTATAGACTTGAATACATTACTTAAAATTTGTTGATGGATATTTTCTATTTAGTATTTTCTTAGATTAACAAAATAATTAATGCACACGTGCATACTATAGTAATAAATTCTCTTTAGACCTAGCAATCCATTAGGCAGATAAAGTAGAGTTCATGTGTTTCTTGACTTCGATATATTGTGGGGATAATGTGGTCAGCAAAATGCCCAGCAAACTTTACTCTCCGTAACACGAGATAGGTACCCATTTGAGCTGGGTTGACTCAGGGATGTTTCACTGCGTTGAACCGAATTCGAGTGCCAGACTTTTGGATTAGCTGCCTAGCGCTCTACCTGCTACGCCACGCCGTCCCACATGGTTATGAAATATGTATACAGTAAAATGAAGAACATAGAGCCCTCCATAAGGGATATCACAAGATACAACAAACTACGAGTAAGCAGAAAACAGGGGCGTAGTCCGGACTCTCAAAGATAACACAACCGCTGACACATGGCCGATAACAAAAGTCTTTTCTACTTCAGTAATGTGAAGTTTGATCAAACCTTGAATTTGCCCCCCCCCCTCCCCTCAAACTTTCCATTTGCACCCTCCCCCCCCCCCATATATTTTTTATATTTATAATGCAAAACTGCACCTAAAATGAGATTTTAATTTGTTTTTCCAACCCATTTTGGCGCCCCCTAAGGTCGGCGCCCGGGGACATATGTACCCCCCTGCCCCCCCCCCCCCCTCTCTACGCCTCTGGCGCGACTCATCGTGTACGTGACGGAAGATATCTAAGTTGTTAACATCGTTCTTGAAACAGAATCTTCAAAATGTATGGAAACAAAGAAACTCGACTTTAAATAGGTAATAAAAACAAATCAAAACATTACAAATAACAAACGTAAATAACACAATAATTGAGTCACTCTATTAGGTTTTATGCTTTAATGATATTTGTATGTTTCGTACATTAAATATATTTAATTAAGCGTTAATAGTAATATGAAAATTTTACATTTAAAAAAAAATAAACATTACTTTCTATCTTTCCATATTTTTGGTGTCGCTTTTACTACTCAAGTTGTATTTACATAAATTCATTGTAATGACTTGTATTTTATTAAATCGAACAAATACTTCGACGAATGAGATTGGTTGAAGAGAGTAGCATGCCTAGCAGATATATTAGAACAGCATCCAGCTTCAGGGAAATAAAACGAATAGAACTACTCTTCACGACAATATCGGAGCATGTTTATCCAGTCAGCAATATTGCCGAGGAAAAATAAATCTCCGAAATATTGTCGTGTTTGAGAAACTCTGCAGTGTGGGAGATGAATCTGAATGTGAGGTAAATAAAAATTTGAAAGAGGAGATTTCTTGGCATCTCTTGAAACCGAACTGCGGCGTTATTACACTGAGCTGAAAGACGAAGAAATATATTCTCTGATTTTTCTTCATGTTGTCAGTATTACTGCTGAGTCACAAGATGGATTCTTTGATTTGGGGAGTAATTTCACGACACGTATCTTGTTTAAACAAAAGACGACCCATTGCGTTCTGTATGAAAGTCTTGCGGGGGATTCTGGGATGCCACATAGCATCCTACAGGGGCACAGACACTCCAGAATATAAATTATTTTTCGCAGAAACCTTCCCAGAAGTTTTGTTATATTTTTGTGTTTTAGAACTAGACTTTATGTTTTTTTGTTAAAGAATGATTTACGGACAAAGGGACACAACCAAGTTAATATTTACGCAATATATTCAAATCCTGGTTAATTCCTCTGATTACTCAAAATTCAATGCCATTCTTTTTTTTTTAAATTAAGAGGACCTGTGAGCATTGTTCCTTCCTTAGGCATCTCTTCGCAGAGCCCCCCCCCCCGAAAATATCAAGCCCCCCCCCCCCCCCCCCGGAGAAAAATGTATGGAAGAAACAGTGCTTGTGAGGGGCAGAAACCTTACCTGGAGTATTCTCATCAACTTACACACACACACATATATACTTGGGAGTGGTATTGTACTTCCATCCCTGCAGGGGCGGAACTACAGTGCCGGGGGGGGGGGGGGGGGCACGCCATTTAGGGGCACACAGCCGACCATAATAACATTATTTGTATTTAATTTTTTTTTTAATTTTCTTGCATTTTTGACTTGATGGTTGTTTTGTAAAAAGATTACAGCAGCTGCGGTTGGATTATCTTTATTCTATTAACACCAACCCAAGTTCTTGTATATTCTTTTTCCCTTTGTTTCTAAACCACTGTGAAAGCCGAGTTCTCTTTCTCCAACAATCAAACTTATCAAAGATAAGCACACGTTCCAACCACTTCCATGACTTATTTCCCTTTTTTAAATAGTCAAATATGGGTGCTCATAAGCTCATTTAAATAGATTTTTACTAAACAAACTAAAAAGCAATTAATTCTCTTAATTATTATTTTTTTAATAAATTACTTTCTAAAGAATGACATTGTATAAAAAGAAAATGTATTTAAAATGAATAATATAAATACAAAAAAAAAAACAACATAAAAATAAACATTACACGAGACACCATTACTTTATACAAAGCTTTCATGAATTATATTCTTTTGACCTTCTAAGTCTATTGGCTGTGAGGTCGTATAGCAAAAATAAACTAAAACAGACTTTCAAAGTACGCATGACAATAATGACATGTTGTATTTGGCCAGCAATATTAATAAGTACCCTATGTTCGCATTTTATATTTGTATATATATATATATATATATATATATATATATATATATATATATATATATATATATATATATATATATATATATATATATAGGGGTGGGGGCCTAAACAATTTTTTGCGGGGTGGCCCTTTTTTTCTAGTTCCGCCACTGCATCCCTGTCCTTTATTCTATATTTATATAACAAAAATGTCCAACATATCGGCCACTTCAAGTAATTGACATGCGCAGGTACAAGCAGACCGTAGTTTAACTCATCGGTTGTGGAACGAGCGGCTATGGGCCTACAGACAAGCATTGTTTACTTCAGGTATCTCTGCACCCCTACCCTCTGAACAAAATATATAAATGCATATATAAATCATGTTTATTTTTTAGCTGTGTCCGACCCCACAGCGGACAATTTTAGCCTCCCCTCACCCTCCCCCTCCCAAAAAAAAAAGTCTGAAAGTAACTTACAGACATGCTTAGTGGCTATCAGCTATACGTTTATTAAAACAGTCTTCCATGCACTTAAGGGCCGACAAACGGGGTTACAGGGGAAGGGGGCAGAGGCTTATCGAGGGGGCAGGGGGGGGGGGGGGACAAATGTCCCCTGGCGCCGACCGTAGGGGGGGGGGGGGAGGGCGCCAAAATGGGTTGGAAAATGAAAAGTTCGAGAGGGGGGGGGGGGTTACAATTTAGAATATATACCCATTTGTCTCTAAAGCAACCCATGTCCTTTCCTATCTCAATTAATTAGGCCTACCATTTCCTGACTTACCTATACCCACACATCACTAGAGCCCTTTGATTTCCCTAACTATTTTTATTGATATTAATTACTTGATATTTAATTGTATTACACACCTATTTTATTTTTAAAATTAGGTTTTATAAACGTCACATCGTTGTGTAACAACTCACTGTTGTGTGGTGTGTTGTGTGGGCGGTAGTACGGGAGGGGTGTGGGGAGGGGGTGGGTATTACGGTCTACACAGGGCACGGGATCATGGACCGTTGGCGTGCTGATTTGTTTACAACTCACTTATTTTGATTTGTTTTGTCTTGTACCTAAATGCGGTCAATGTAAAACAAATGTCCATTGGTCAATTTAAAAAGCCAGATATCAATTTTGAGTCCACTGAAGTGTTGTGTGTTAAAACATAGGTGTACCCTTGGCGCACAACTTTTAGTGTTGTCACTTTGGTGAATGTTTAATGTGTGGTCAGATGGTCGAGACAGATTATGGAGACAGAGACACTTAATTTTAAACACCAGCTAAAAGATTACCAAGATTAGTTCATATACTCTGAGCTCTACTCTTTCTATAGTTTATTTATTTGTAATCTAGATCTAGATTTAAATAAATACATTATGATATTGATATTAATATTATATTTTATAGGCCTATCAGTATTTTATTCGGGGCCTATGCCTATAGGCCTAAGTATAGGCCCATTTGCTATTGTATTAGACTAATAGTATTAGTATTAGTCATTATCAGCATATCTGTTACATTTATTAATTTATTATGCCTACTTAGTACTACTAATAGTAATACATACTTACCCATACTAATTCTGAATTAGATTACGAGTAAATACAATAATGCTAATTAGTAATTTAATAGGAGCCTACAGATCTAGATTTAACCTAATTTATAAAGACTGAAAATTAGACATGACTGTTACAAACATACATTGACATTATTAATTTTATTATGATTAGCTCACCAAACTATTGTTAGTTATTTAACTAGGCTAGACCTATATGCCAACAGTCAGTTTTGTAGATATTGGTATATGACTAACTA